ATGTGTATGTGTATGTGTATGTGTATGTGTATGTGTATGTGTATGTGTATGTGTATGTGTATGTGTATGTGTATGTGTATGTGTATGTGTATGGTTCGTGACGACCCCCATTATGCTTTTATGTACAAAATGACATTGCTGTTAATTATCTATTCACTTATCATGCTAAAAAATACATTTTATGTTTCAGGTATTACAAGAAGAAGAATCAAGCATATGCAGAAAAGCTCGATCCATCGGTTGTTAGATTCACAATGGCGATCGATGCCTGCAACGAAGTCACACATGACTCAAACAAAAATAAAATTGAAATACAATGATTAAAAAAATTCAATCGTGAAATAAAAAAAAAACAATCTTAGATGTTGTTTGACGTGATAAAAGATTTACTGACTCATTAACCGAACCTTTTCCTATATACTTAATTAATTATTACTATCGCGCATGTCCAATTTATGTAGGATAAAATCCCTCGTCAACTAATGGTCACAAATACAGAATACTCTCTTTGAATGACCACTCTAGTAAGCGACCATCTCCCGTAAGCGACCACCTTTTAATTTCCCGTTTTGTTCAGTTTCCCATATAACTCATCTGTAAAAAAGCTTTCTCGTAAGCGAATATCTTTCGTAAGCGACCACTTTTTCCTGATCCCGAGGCGTTCGCTTACGGGAGAGTTGACTGTATTTACCAAACTTACAGTATGAAAAGACGTCATCAAGACGTCGGGTTTGCGTGAATAAAACACTGCTGTATAAAGTTATCAAAGGAAAAGTCTGATATTAAAACACATTATAGCATTTTTATCACGAGGATGTTTGGAGAACACTATAGGTCTAAAAAATCACGAGCGCAGCGAAAAGAAAAAAAACACACACACACACAAAACAAATTCATAAAAGTCAGTAATCCAAACAGACGCACCGATTAATTCTTCTTTTAGATTTTTTTATTCTTGCTGGATTTTGTTACACATGTGAGCTGTTATTTAAAATTTAAATTTGACTTTTAACAGTTTTAAACGCCGGCCGCAGCCTGTTTAAATCGGTTTAGTTTCACAGTTCATGCAGAAGACTTGCTTGGACGTCATTCATCTATCAATTTCAGTTTTCTCGCCAAAGAGCATATTTGCGCAACTGCTTCATCAAGGGTTAGTGAACGCTGATCTCGCTAAATATAAAATGAAACAGATGAGTGATCAAGAATCTAATAAAAAAAGTAGACATCAAATTCATTAACGGGCTCAGTTTCTTTGAGGAAAGTGGTGATGGGTGCTAATCGTCCTTCATGGCAGCATGCGTGTTGAATTKCCAAAGACGCAGCTTGACGCGCTCTCAAGTCGAAGTGCTATATATTAAAGAAACATACTACATACACTTATTACACATATGCGCGCTGCCGGGTGTAAGCGCTTCCTTTACATAGCAACGAACGACTGAACGCGGAGCACAGCAGATAGAAATGGTTCGTTATTACTAAGGAAAACCCGGAAAGACCAGGAAAAACCCTCAACGCAAGTAAGAGAACGAAAGAAACTAAAATAAAATCACATGATGCCCCGACCGAGATTCGAATCGGCTCTCACCGATCGTGTCCACTCGTGCGTCCCAAAAAAAGTTTTGACGTGATGCACGCCGTGGTTATCACAGCTACTTACAAGCCCACTTTCGGCCTCTGCATGTTTTCTACTGACAGTGCAATTTGAAAAGCACGACCCCTCGCATTTAAGTCAACAGCATAAATAATCATGAAACAAATACAGTTCTTACCGCTTTTGAATGTCTTTTTCCAAAGGGCAGGGAAGGCATACTAGCTTCAACAGCATTTTCCTTCAATGACAAGCCCCCGAGCAGCAACACAACAAGAAGAATCCATAACATGTTGATTTCCTTTTTTTGTAGGCTGGAGTGATGACTTCTTCTCTCTGTAGTCTTATTCTTGTCTTTTCCCGTTGTTTCGAAGTTTGATTTTATAACTACTGCTCTAGCTCTTTATAGTTTTTGTTACTGAGATCGTGCGGGCCAAATACTTTTTTTAATCAGATCAAATAATAATAACCTTTATCTGCTAAGTGATATAAACATATTATCCTGGCGGTTTGTCAAAATTCTTCCTGATTTGTAATTATTTAATGCGCCATTATATTGAGTTTAGAAGATTCCTAATACGTAATTCCTAACAAGTGGCCGGCCCATAGGCTGGAGGAGTTCGGGAGGTTCGGACGAACACCCCCACAAGCTTAAAAGGTCCTGCGTTTCTCCTTTTTTATTGTTCTATTTTAGAATCCATTTGTTATGAACTGTTTTTGAGATTTGATCTTAAATTTAATTTCATCCGCTTTTTTGGGAAAAAAAGGGTAGCAATATATATGGGCTTTGACCGCAGCTTGCTAGATATCCAGATCAAAAACTAGGTCTCATTTCATTTTAATTCGTCTGGTTCTTGAAGAGTCATAATAGTCAGAGCCTAAGAATGGGGAGAATTAGTCTCGCCAGTGGTTCATTGGAGATCCGATATTGGTTCAAAAATGTTTTTATTTAAAGATGAAAAGTGATCTCAAGTAGAAGTTTAAGAGCCGAATTTCATATAGTTTTACGGCTTTTCAAACATTCAGTAAAAAAAAAATATATATATATATATAAAAAACAACAACAAACAAACAAACAAACAAACAAACAAACAAACAAACAAAAAAACACGAAAAACACACACACAAACCAGGAAGCAAGCAAAAACAATGATAATGAATCAGAGGTCGATCATCGCACTATTGTTGACTTTTCAAATTCTCTTTCATAACCCTTGGGGTGCGGCGGTCAAGGTAGCAACGATACAGCACTCGTGTCAAATACCGGGTCCCAAATACCGAGRAGGGACTCTCATCATCCTAGGTAGAGCTCAATGACGATCGTCTAAAATGTTTAACGACCCCTTACAGATACAGGTGTGCGTGACAACAGATG